GATCTATTTATGACAGGTCTCTAATTTGGATTTAGATACATTGGATTTATTCTCAATTTTTCAAGTTGAATTATTCACCTATATTGTATATGATCCATTATTGTACATAATTAGGTTAAAATAAAATTTGTATACTAACTTAGATTCGATGGGGGGGTAGGAAAACCCTGCACCTGTCTTGCGCGTTGACTTTAATATAAAACCAAATCATTTGACGCATTTTATTGTTTAATTAGAATTTTTATTTTATTTACAACATTCTAAAAATTAATAAAATTAGTAGAACTAATGCAATGCAATATTTTTTATTTATCTACCCATTTTTAATGAAATAATAAAATTATTCATAAATTTATAAACATTTAATAAATTATTAAAATGATGTTAAAAATTACCGCAAAATATTTTTGATTTATTTAAGATGGAATGATTTATTATGACATGTCACTAATTTGAATTTGGATAAATTGTATTTATTTTCATTTTTTCTTGTTGAATTATTCACCTATATTGTATATGATCCATTATTGTATATAATTAGTTTAAAACAAAATTTATATTTTAGATGAATACAACCTTATAAAAATTGAAATGTAGTAGAGTGGGGGTCCCATATCATAGGTTCGTGTGGGACATATAATAGATTCGTGGGTGCGTATAATAGATACATAGTGGAGTATAATAGATACGTAGTGGAGGTACAAGATCCCGTAAACCCTAGGGTCGTAAGGACACCAGATCTAATGCAGCCACAACAGCAATGGTTTCATTGGTAGACAGCCTCACAGCGCCAGATGCTCTACAAGCTAGTTTGAATTAAGAGTTTTCCTTCTCCTAGACTGGTTGCCAACCAAGACTATAGGATGCAATCTGTTCTGCTATTTAACGATAGCGGGGGGGGAGGAATGCATTCATACATTTCCGAAGCGTAGAAGCACGGAAATGAATGTAATAGTGGGACTTGTAAGCATAGATTAAATGTGGCACAAGGCCAAAAGTATGAAGCACCCAGTGAGGATTGAACTCACTATTCAGGCTTAATTGATTTATCGAGACAAACTTGTTAAGCATTACACCACGTCGAAGTTCCCTGATTTTATATGCGTGGCTTAGAAGTGGCACAAGGCCGAAAGTATGGAGCCCCTAGTGAGGATCGAACTCACTATTCAGTCGTAATTGATCTAGCGAGACAAGCTTGCTATCCATTACACGATGTTGATGTGCTTTATCTGTTCATCCCTCTATATATCTCAGTATGTTCATATATCTACCTCAGTCTATTCATCTATCTACCAGTCTATTCATCCGTCTACCTCTGTTTATCTCTCTATCTCACTCTGCTCATCTAAGTCTGTTCTTCTATCTACCTCAGTCTGTTTATCTATCTATCTCAGTCTGTTCATCGATCTATCTATCTATTTATCTATCTATCTGAAGCTTTTTATAACTATCTATCTTAGGCAAAGTCTATCTACCTTTCTAAATATATTAGGACGTTTCTATCTATCTATCTGTCTATCTACCTATCTATCTCAGTCTGTTCAACTATCTATCTATCTATCTCCGTTCATCTGTCAATCTCACTTTGTACATTTGTCTATCTATCTATCTATCTATCTATCTATCTATCTATCTATCTATCTATCTATCTATCTCAATCATTTCATGTCTATTCATCTATCTACCCATTATCTATATATATATCTATGTCGCTAATTGATTTCACGAGAGTAGAAAGTGAATGTAATGAACCCGACTGAAATTCGAACTCGACTCACTTATTCCTCCGAACCGCCACCCATTACTCCACCGTGACTCTATCCCACATATACTCATAATAGGCAACCTTTGATCTCTCCCTTTACACCCTCCATTCAGCACCTCCATTCAATAACACTAGCTGGAGTGGCTCTCGTGACTTGTACTGGGCTAACAGCAATAAAAATCCTCCAGTAAGACATTTGATCGGAGTTTTTTGATGACTTCTTAATTGCTGTTGTTCCTAGGTCCACCCTTGCCCGGGGCGTTAGCACCTGTTAGCGTCCCAGCTATGGGTAAATACTTAACACCCAAACTGCATATGAAAGCCTATGAAAACAAAAAAATATAGTAAAAGTATCAGTAATACCTTTATGTAAGGAAAACAAAAATATGCCGTATATACTCGCATATCATGGGGCTTTGAAGACCTAAAGTTGAAGCCAATTTTAAGGGTGTTTTATCATATATAGTGGCCAAGAAATAGGGGATGGGTTTAATACTAAAAACAATACAAATCTAATCCCTCACTTTTTATCATCCTTTCATTTGATTACCTATAAAGATGTTTTCGAATTTCATGCATGAATCTACTATGGCCACAAAATGGGGGATGTCTTTAATACTAAAGAACAATACAAAACTGATCCCCCACTTTTTACTATCCCTTCCTTTCATTATGTATAGTTACCGTATATAGTTGCGTATCATGCAACTTTTGACGACCTAATTTTGAAGCTAATTTAGTAAATCGATGTACAGTTTAGTGAACGGCGTAGCCAGGGCCAGCAGTACATACGTTAATTTTATATCTAATGTATGATGTTACCCTCTTAAAATTAGCTTCAAAATTCGCATGATACGCGAGTATATACAGTATTACCAGAAATACATTTCTCTAAAAGAAATTATTAATGCTGCCAAGAAAATTACATTTCGGTTTAAATGACCCATAAGCAGTTGATATGTTGCTATACAATCAAACAGTAGTAAAAACATTTTTTAAAAAAAATGTAGTATGACTTGAAAAAATATTTCATACCTCCAGTGGCGTGTAAAGATGAGACAAATTTCTTAGCTTCTGACAAGTTTCGCGTTTGTTCCCAATTGACGTTTGAACTGAAGGTACCAAACGTAAAACTGTCTTTTTCTGGCTCGAGCGCCGAAAGAATGCTAAGCATGGCGGATTTCACCTGCCGGAGTTTTCTACCTCGCATTGATCCACTGATATCAATCATAAAGACAATATTCTTCGGCCATACGGACTCGGTCACCGGTGTAAAGAAGTGTACGAAATATCCATCAAGTTCCTGGTGTCATTTGAATATAAAAGAAAAGCAAAAGAAAAAAAAAAAAAATAAATAACTGAAACGCATTTAAAAATGTGCAATGGATAAATTGTCGTCGAAACGACACAAAAACGAAAATAACACTGACATTTTAAATATTACCAAAATAAAACAAAATTATTTTGAAATATTAAAGCGCAATATTATTCAGTAAAATCGCCATTGGCTTCAAACACGTCCTCCAGGAATCTCCTGTAACTCATCTGGGCGGTCTCTTTGTTTAAGTTGATAAATGCTGTCATAATCCTTGCCTTCCGTTCAAAACAAGAAGTTTTGTTGATTTCTCGATCACAGCGATCCACACATAACATTAAAGGGCGTGTCTGAAGAGGATGTTGGCCAGATGTAAGGGGTGATATGATCGCAGAAATTGTCTGACAGCCGTTAAGGCAGTGGAGAACTTGGAGAGAGGAATTAGCAGGAGTTAACTGATAAATGACATTCATTAAACATGGCACGTGGAACTAGAACAGTCTACCCGAGAGCGAAATAAAGGGTTCAGTTCGATATTCCAACCACCTCAAGAAGGCCGGAGCGTACAACGGACGAAACGTTGTAATAAATATGGCGGCCAAGATGAGGACAATATTCCGAAGAATGTAAATGTTGTACATAATACCTCATCTCAAAAATATAGACAGAGCCATGACTGGGTTATCCTGCTTGTGTGGCATGGTGTAGAATGCTGTTGACTACTAGGCTGTGCAGTCGACAAAATCAGAAAAAAACGATACGCATGCGCGAAACTAAAAATGTAAAATGGCGACTATTTATATCTCACATTCTGTATTTATCTTTTGTATCCTGTTCAAGGTTTCTATAAGGTTATGTCTGTCTATATATAAAGCCGACTAAAATTGCACTTGTTCCAACCTCGTTAGTTAGACTCTTCCGTTTTCATGATAGGGAAACAGGGAAAGACAATACTGGTTTCAGTGAGGGAAAGAGAGAAAGAAAGAAAGAAAGAATGTAAGAAAGAAAGAAACAAACAAACAAATAAAGAACATAAGAAAGTAGAAAGAAAGAAAGAATGTGAGAAAGAAAGAAAGAAAGAAAGAAAGAAAGAAAGAAAGAAAGAAAGAAGTAAAGAAAGAAATAAAAAACATAAGAAATTAGAAAGAAAGAAAAAATGTAAGAAAGAAAGAAAGAAAGAAAGAAAGAAAGAGACAGCGTATCGCTATCTATAAAAGGCAGGGTGTGTGTGTGTGTGTGTGTGTGTGTGTGTGTGTGTGTGTGTGTGTGTGTGTGTGTGTAACGAATGCACGGCCGCAATTTTCGACAGATTTGCACAAAAAATTTACATGCACATGCTCCAAGTTAGCTGGAAGGCCAAGACCGACTTTGCATTTCCCCAAACCCCATCGATAGTGGAAATAATCGATTTTTTCATGCTTCTACGGCAGTTTTCATGTAGTCTGCGGCCATTTTCTACTGGCCAGAGTGACAGCCAATAGCTGGCTGTCACGAATAGGCAGGAAGATTCTATTGGCCAGCGTGAGAGCCAACAGCTGACTGACACGAATGTTAACTAGCATGCTAGCATGCAAAAAAAATGATAGCTGCATTTGTCACAAGTGGGAAAAATTTAAATCTGCATGGCACTTTACTTCAATTGGCTCATTCGCTTGCTTAGACTCAACGTTGATTCTGATTCCATAGAAATGGGTTGGGTGTGAAAATGTATTTGTTGTTAAAATTCTTTTTTCATTTGGTTTTTCCAGTTACAAGTCCTTTTTTAAAGCTGATCGTTTTGTGTTCATTTTGTTTCGTTCTTTTTTCGTAACAGATTTAATGTTTAGTATAGAGCTTAGAAAAAATTCGCAGTGTGAGATAGGCAAGAAGTAAGGCATGTAGCAACATCAGCACGGCAAATGGCACTCCTTTAAAGGCAAGGAAGGGCAAAAATATTTTAAATCAAGTGATAGTGATTGCTGTATGAGTCGTACGATTTTTGAATCAAGCACCGGCAACGACGGGCCATGCTGCTAGTGTAAATATAAAAGTGAACATTGACGTCAACACTCAACCGACATGACGATTGCGTCTATCATAAAAAACCTGTCGCCTCTGAGTGTTGACTTCAATGTTAACAAAGGGCTCATCCTGACACTGAAGGTGACTCTAATCCTTGAATTTGTTTGAATTTCATAGCTGTGTTGTCATATCCTTCTATGGCAACAGAAAACACCTTTGGGTGAAATTAACAATAAAGATACTGCGATTGAGAGGCCTTGAAAATGCAGAGGAAAGGGAATAAATATCAATATTGCAGAGTCATAAAGCTTAATAATGTTTTTTTTTTTCCTTTTCTCATATTCTTTCACAATCAGTAACTCACATTATGAGAAAATGTATGCTATTCAGGAGAGAAAATATTATTCGCGATGTCATATTCAACACTTAGTAACTGATGGCCACGATGTGATATTAATTTAAATCTAACAACTGGTGACCCTGACGTGATCCGATATTATTCAACAGTCAATAACTGATGGTCACGATGTGATATTATTTAGAATCCATCAACTGGTGGCCCCGACCTGATCTGTTATTATTCAAAACTCAATAACTGATTGCCAGTGTGTGATATTATTTGAAATCCATCAACTGGTGACCCCGATGTGATCTGATATTAATCAACACTGAATAACAGACGTGATCTGTTATTCAAAACTCAATAACTGATGGCCACGATGAGATACTATTTGAAATCCCGCAACTGGTGACACTGATGTGATCTGATATTATTCAACACTGAATAACCGATGGCCATGATGTCATATTATTTAAAATCCCGCAACTGGTGACCCCAATGTGATCTGATATTATTCAAAATTGTATAACTGATGACCACGATGTGATATTATTTATCCTCGACTAACATTATCTTACTTATTATAAAACGCAGAGTGTGTGTGTGTGTGTGTGTGTGTGTGTGTGTGTGTGTGTGTGTGTGTGTGTGTGTGTGTGTGTGTGTGTGTGTGTGTACGTTTATATGTTGGATCGGATTTCCTACATTTTTCAACCGATTTCAACAAAACTTCACAGGACTACGTAAAATTACCTTGCGGTGGTTCTGTTGTTTTTGCACGAAATCAATTTGAAAACCCAATAAAACACGATTCTGTCGCCAGAATGAAAGGGGGACAACTCATATCGAGTTATACTTATTATAAAACCTATGTTGTTTGTTTGTGTGTGTGTCTGTTCGTTTATATATTGGATCGGATTTCCTACATTTTTCAACCGATTTCAACAAAACTTCACAGGACTACGTAAAATTACCTTGCGGTGGTTCTGACAGCACCAAAAAATTGGAAAAACACAACTGTTTTTGCACGAAATCAATTTGAAAACACGATTAAGAGGCATCGCTGTCGAGAATGAAAGAGGGACAACTCATATCGAGTTATAATTATTATAAAACCCAGGTTGTTTGTTTGTGTGTTTGTGTGTGTGTGTGTGTGTTCGTTTATATATGGGATCGGATTTCCTACATTTTTCAACCGATTTAAAAAAAAAACCACTTTTTTTTTGGTAGGTAGTGTTTCTTATTGTCTTGCACACTTTTTTCTTTATTTTTACATTCAGAATGCTTTAAAAATTCCATTTACAAGGCAATTGTTTATAATAAAATTCTATTCAATCGGTAGACTCATAACGATTGAAAACAATGTTTTTGTTTGAGTTTGGGTTTGACCAATTCGTAACCCCCCCCCCCCAAAAAAAAATCCTAATTAAGACATGCGTGTCCGTCACCCTTAAACAATAATCTTTGTCTATTTTATTTTTCAGTCTTTATGATGGTCGATACTTGATCTATCTCTTACTGTTATATCCCCGGGCAACGCCGGGTTGTGCTGCTAGTATAGTAACAAACATATAGCCATAATATATTTCGCATTATCCTCAGGCCAAACCTTATTTGGAAGAATCAATTGATTACTTACATATATGACGTTCGATTGCGCCCGATTGACATCATATTCCACAATGAAGTCGCCAAGATGGTTATGTTCTTTCAATTCCTCTTGTTCTTCGCTGCTGGGATCGAACTTGATGTAGACATGTTTGTTGTCGATATATTCGACAGATCGAACCCTGTGAACTGCGAAAGAAATCAATCAGAATTTGGATTATCAGACAGGATTAAATTGGATATTATTTATGACATGGAAGCAAAGTGGTTTATCTATTCGATTATCCTAAGAAGAAACACAAAGAATGGTGTGCGGATGAGTCTGACAAATGGCGGACGAAAATAAATGCTGCGTTTTACAATGGCGATGATTGCGACAAAATGGTGAACATCATTGCATTGATATTAACATTATTATTTTGTTTATTTTATTTGATATATAAATATATATATATATATATACACACACACATATATATATATATATACACACACACACACACACACACACATATATATATAGATGCACACACACACACACATATATATATATAGATGCACACACACACACACATATATATATATATATAGATGAATTACACACACAAAACAAACATATAGGTTTATGATTTAATAGGTGTGAAATCCATCGTCGCAAACGATTCAAATCATATACAAAACCTCGAATCCGTTATGAATGAAATGATCCTTCTTTATATAAATTTCTGCCGTATTAGTTCTTATTTTTACTACAAGGTTTCGTCTGTTCTTACAGACATCTTCAGGTCTGGAATAGATGTTGTTCTTACAGTAGTACTAAGAGAAAAACAAGAACAACATCTATTCCATACCTGAAGATGTCTGTAGTAATAGACGAAAGGTTGTAGTAAAAATAAGAACTAATACGGCAGAAATTTATAGAAACAAGGATATTTTCATTCATAAAGGATTCGGAGGTTTTGTATATTATTTGAATTTTCAGTGACGATGGATTTATCGCCAATTAAATCATTAACCTTTGCATTTGTTTTTTGTGTGAATAATTCATGAAGTTGTAAATTGATTGCACGTTTTAAATATATATATATATATATATATATATATATATATATATATATATATATATTAATTTTAATTTGCACCTAGCTTACCTACATATTATATTAATGATATGTGAGTGTAAAATTATACATTATGGATATTAAAAGGCTTATAAATATATATATATATATATATATATATATATATATATATATATATATATATATATATAGAGAGAGAAGAGAGAGAGAGAGAGAGAGAGAGAAGACAGAGAGAGAGCACAAGAGAGAGAGCACGGTAGAGTAACGGATAGCAGCTGGATTGAGGAATCGGAGAGGCGAGTTCGAATTCCAGTCGAATCCATTACAGACAACGTTAAGCAATGTTGAACCTGATCATCAAATGGGTGACCACTTTGAAATAACAGGTGATGTAAGGATATGCTGGTGGTATTTGAATCATTTTAAAAATGCCGATTCCAATACGATCAACAAGAGTTAAGCAAAGTTGGTAAATGGGTGACCACTTTGAAATAACAGGTGATGTGTTGATATTGGTATAATAGGCTTATAGCCACATCATTTTTAAAATGCCGATTCCAATACGATCAACAAAGTTAAGCAACGTTGAACCTGATCAGTACCTAAATGGGTGACCACTTTGAAATAACAGGTGATGTAAGCTTGATATGCTGTTGGTATAATAGGCTTATAGCCACATCATTTTAAAAATGCCGATTCCAATACGATCAACAAAGTTAAGCAAACGTTGAACCTGATCAGTACCTAAATGGGTGACCACTTTGAAATAACAGGTGATGTAAGCTTGGATATGCTGGTGGTATAATAGGCTTATAGCCACATCACTTTTAAAAATGCCGATTCAATACGATCAACAAAGTTAAGCAAAGTTGAACCTGATCAGTACCCTAAATGGGTGACCACTTTTGAAATAACAGGTGATGTAAGCTTGGATATGCTGGTGGTATAATAGGCTTATAGCCACATCATTTTAAAAATGCCGATTCCAATACGATCAACAAAGTTAAGCAACGTTGAACCTGATCAGTACCTAAATGGGTGACCACTTTGAAATAACAGGTGATGAAGCATTGTTGGATATGCTGGTGGTATAATAGGCTTATAGCCACATCATTTTTAAAAAATGCCGATTCCAATACGATCAACAAAGTTAAGCAACGTTGAACCTGATCAGTACCTAAATGGGTGACCACTTTGAAATGAACAGGTGATGTGGCTTGGCTTATAGCCACATCATTTTTAAAATGGATTCCAATAATCAACAAAGTTAAGCAACGTTGAACCTGATCAGTACCAAATCACTTTTAAAAATGCTTGGATATGCTTCATGGTGGATTCACAATAAAAACGAAGGTGCAACAAAGTTAAGCAACGTTGAACCTGATCAGTACCTAAATGGGTGACCACTTTGAAATAACAGGTGATGTAAGCTTGATATGCTGGTGGTATAATAGGCTTATAGCCACATCACTTTTAAAAATGCCGATTCCAATACGATCAACAAAGTTAAGCAACGTTGAACCTGATCAGTACCTAAATGGGTGACCACTTTGAAATAACAGGTGATGTAAGCTTGATATGCTGGTGGTATAATAGGCTTATAGCCACATCATGCCTTTTTAAAATGAACCGATTCCAATGACCACGATCAACAATGTAAGCAACGTTGAACCTGATACGATCAACAAAGTTAAGCAACGTTGAACCTGATCTGTATTACCTAAATGGGTGACCACTTTGAAATAACAGGTGATGTAAGCTTGGATATGCTGGTGGTATAATAGGCTTATAGCCACATCATTTTAAAATGCCGATTCCAATACGATCAACAAAGTTAAGCAACGTTGAACCTGATCAGTACCTAAATGGGTGACCACTTTGAAATAACAGGTGATGTAATGGATATGCTGGTGGTATAATAGGCTTATACCACATTTTTAAAATGCCGATTCCAATACGATCAACAAAGTTAAGCAACGTTGAACCTGATCAGTACCTAAATGGGTGACCACTTTGAAATAACAGGTGATGTCACTTTTTGGATATGATGGTGGTATAATAGGCTTATAGCCACATCATTTTAAAAATGCCGATTCCAATACGATCAACAAAGTTAAGCAACGTTGAACCTGATCAGTACCTAAATGGGTGACCACTGAAAAATAACAGGTGATAGGCTTGGATATGCTTATGGTGGTATAATGAGGCTTATAATACATCATCATTTTAAAAATGCCGATTCCAATACGATCAACAAAGTTAAGCAACGTTGAACCTGATCAGTACCTAAATGGGTGACCACTTTGAAATAACAGGTGATGTAAGCTTGGATATGCTGGTGGTATAATAGGCTTATAGCCACATCATTTTAAAAAATGCCTGATTCCAATACGATCAACAAAGTTAAGCAACGTTGAACCTGATCATCAGTACCTAAATGGGTGACCACTTTGAAATAACAGGTGATGTAAGATTGGATATGCTGGTGGTATAATAGGCTTATAGCCACATCATTTTAAAAATGCCGATTCCAATACGATCAACAAAGTTAAAGTTGGTAGCAACGTTGAACCTGATCAGTACCTAAATGGGTGACCACTTTGAAATAACAGGTGATGTAAGCTTGGATATGCTGGTGGTATAATAGGCTTATAGCCACATCATTTTAAAATGCCGATTCCAATACGATCAACAAAAGTTAAGCAACGTTGAACCTGATCATTACCTAAATGGGTGACCACTTTGAAATAACAGGTGATTAAGCTTGGATATGCTGGTGGTATAATAGGCTTATAGACCCACATCATTTTTAAAAATGCCGATTCCAATACGATCAACAAAGTTAAGAGAACGTTGAACCTGATCCAGTACCTAAATGGGTGACCACTTTGAAATAACAGGTGATGTAAGCTTGGATATGCTGGTGGTATAATAGGCTTATAGCCACATCATTTTAAAAATGCCGATTCAATACGATCAACAAAGTTAAGCAACGTTGAACCTGATCAGTACCTAAATGGGTGACCACTTTGAAATAACAGGTGATGTAAGCTTTGATATGCTGGTGGTATAATAGGCTTATAGCCACATCACTTTTTAAAATGCCGATTCCAATACGATCAACAAAGTTAAGCAACGTTGAACCTGATCAGTACCTAAATGGGTGACCACTTTGAAATAACAGGTGATGTAAGCTTGATATGATGGTGGTATAATAGGTTTATAGCCACATCATTTTAAAAATGCCGATTCCAATACGATCAACAAAGTTAAGCAACGTTGAACCTGATCAGTACCTAAATGGGTGACCACTTTGAAATAACAGGTGATGTAAGCTTGGATATGCTGGTGGTATAATAGGCTTATAGCCACATCATTTTAAAAATGCCGATTCCAATACGATCAACAAAGTTACGTTGAAGCAACGTTGAACCTGATCAGTACCTAAATGGGTGACCACTTAGAAATAACAGGTTTTAAAAATGCCTTGGATCAACAAATTTTGGTATAATGGGGCTTATAACCACATCATTTGAAAAAAACTTATAGCCGATTCAATACGATTCAACAAAAAGTTAAGCAACGTTGAACCTGATCATGGGTACACCTAAATGGGTGACCACTTTGAAATAACAGGTGAAAAAAAAGCTTGGATATGCTGGTGGCATAATAGGCTTATAGCCACATCATTTTAAAAATGCCGATTCCAATACGATCAACAAAGTTAAGCAACGTTGAACCTGATCAGTACCTAAATGGGTGACCACTTTGAAATAACAGGTGATGTAAGCTTGGATATGCTATTTGGTATAATAACAGGCTTATATCACTTTTAAAAATGCCTGTTCAATACGATCAACAAAGTTAAGCAACGTTGAACCTGATCAGATAAATGGGTGACCACTGAAATGTGATGTAAGCTTGGATATGCTGTTGGTATAATAGGCTTATAGCCACATCATTTTAAAAATGCCGATTCCAATACGATCAACAAAAGTTAAGCAACGTTGAACCTGATCAGTACCTAAATGGGTGACCACTTTGAAATAACAGGTGATGTAAGCTTGGATATGCTGTTGGTATAATAGGCTTATAGCCACATCACTT